TTTTTTTTTCTTCTCCATACCGAGAACTGATAAATAAATTGTACTGCGGCAACCCGTGATTCTTTATGAATATGGATCTGTCCACCAAGAATATGCAACCCATTTAACATCCGAGCTAAATGAACTGTGGCTACGATTCCAATGAATACCTAAAATAAAGTAAAACTGAAACCGAATAAAAAAAATAATTAAATGTATTTTGAACCGTTACACTAGATGAGAGATAAGACTGGAAAAATTTCAAAGCTGATTCTGTGATACCATGAAATTCAAGTTTCCCTAGTAGTAATTGATGAATCATACAGTCAAAAGCTTTGTTCAGATCCCACAGTGTTAGAACCGTATGGTCTCCATTTTCCACATCGTTGGTGGATCTATTTTTGATGAGTCCAAATCGATGTTCATGTAGAATATTGTGTTCATTTAGAAATTGCATTAAACGCTCCTTCACGAAAATTTCAACGATTTTTCTAAAAAGAGGTATAGGTATGAAATAGGACGGTAATTATCAGGGAAATTCGGGTCTCCTTTTTTATGGATGGTATTACCTTGCTGATTTTAAATACATCCGGAAAATGTCCTCCACTGAAACCAGCGATTTATGAGAACTGTCAGAGGTTCTACAAGAATGTTCATAGTTTCTTTGAGGATTCGACTGTTGATGGCATTGATGACATTGTCAGCAAAATCAGAAGTACCAATAAATTGGCATTATATTTAAAACATCGTTTGCTTTTTACAATATAAACATACTGAATTTAAACAGAATCACTCTGCGGACCACAGAGATATTTGTGTATAATTAATGTTTCATTACAGTAATTTTTTTCACAAAATTCTCAGTTTTGAGTTTCACATTCTTCTTCTAGGTGCTACACCGATGTTGTCCCCTGTTTTCCAAGTGGCTGTTGCTGATGAAAAAGTTGGAGAAAAGGTAAAAGTCTACAGGAGTATCTATGATTTCGAAGACACCCTCGAACGCTTTGAGGAATCAAAAAGTATTGCGATAATAGGTGGAGGATTTTTGGGAAGTGAATTGGCTTGTGCTATGGCTCGAAAAGGTAAAATATAGACGACCCTCGAATGAATAATAATAATAATAATGAACGTCTAAATCTTGAATGTTGTGTCTTTTTCTGTTATTAATAACCAGTCTGCTTTCTTTTGACTTCAGTTCTATTCATGAAAAGACTCAACAGACATAAGTTATAATCCATTTTTTGATACTATCATTAGCTCCATTTATTTCAATTTATTGCTAATGCTAGCAATATGACTGCCTTGTTAATCAATCACTTTTTAGACCCCATTAAACGTAAATTAATACAACAGGGAACTTTTTGTTTTAATTTGAAAAAAATTAAAACTGTGATCTTGTAACTTTAGATTGGTCTTTGTTGTTAACTCACATGAGGAATGCCTCGTTAATTGAAAAGTGTTGGAAGAGGAAATTATTTTTAAAAACTCAGGTAGGCATACAAGT